CTGAACATGTCCAGCAGGGCTGTAGGGGAGGAACCTCCTCAGCTGGGGAACAAGGTTAACACTCTCTACCGTAGTGCACTGTTGGTCACATATCCCCATGTTGACTGGGCACATCACCCAAGTTAAGATAAAGAGCTAAAATTTCTACAGGCCATTAATGATTACTTCTTGGAGCAGCTAGTCCTGGAACCTACATGAGAATGAACATGTCCAGCAGGGCTGTAGGGGAGGAACCTCCTCAGCTGGGGAACAAGGTTAACACTCTCTACCGTAGTGCACTGTTGGTCACATATCCCCATGTTGACTGGGCACATCACCCAAGTTAAGATAAAGAGCTAAAATTTCTACAGGCCATTAATGATTACTTCTTGGAGCAGCTAGTCCTGGAACCTACATGAGAAGAGGCAATTCATGAATTAGTTCTAAGTGGCACATAGGATTTGAGCCCAAAAAGTGAATGTAGCTGATTTGCTTGGTAAACAACAGCCCCAAAGTAGTTTAATTCAACATCCTTGTAGAGGGGGAAAATATCACAGAAACCAACTACAGCAGCATTTAACTTCAAAAAGAGGAAATATACATAATATGAGGAAGCTACACAGAAATTGAAAGGAACAGTCAAGAGTGAAATGCATGCAAGTTGAATGGAAACTACTTAAAAACACCATAACAGGGACTCAAACTAGCTGTATCTCTCTACATTTCATGGAAAGAAACAAAAAATACCACCATGCCTAAATAACAGTAAACAAGCCAATAAAGACAAAAAGACATTGTTTAAAAATTACAAGCCAATTGATAATTAGAAAAACATAAAGGGGCATAAACTCTGGCAAGACAAGCATAATTATTCAGGTAAAACAATTTGAAGAGCAACTAGCAAAAGACACAACAACTAACAGCAAAATAATTTATAATACATCCCTACCGCTTATGATGTAAGAGACTAGAAGACTATCTGATAAGCATAAGTTTGTCGATCCAATTAGTGATTTAACTAGTCGCTGCCCCTCCTTTGCTGGCTCTATCAGAGAGAGGCAGCAAGGGCGGGGGGGAAGGAGCCAGCGCTGGGGGGGAGCCAACTTAAAAGCCAGTTCCCCTAGCACTGTCTCTGTGGGGGGGAGGGGCCCTTTCTACTGTTCAAAGGCGGAGATGCTCTTATAGACTAATTGAATAGTTGATGGAAATCCCATTGACTATTCGATTAGTTGATCAATCTATATTTAACACCCCCTAATAAGCAGGAAGCCTGCCACTGGATGATCAAAGTGCTAAAGGAATACTCAAGAAAGACTTCTCCACAGAAAATGTGAGAGATTCTCCACAGCTGAACCATTCTTTTTACATGATGAATATGAGGAACTGTTCCACACTAAGGGGTCAATAGAGATGGTTTTGGAATGAATTGATAAACAGTGATAAGTCATCAAGATCCATTGGTAGTCACCCAAGAGTTCTGAGGAACTCAAATAGGAAATAGTAAAACTACTAACTGCAGTATGTAAATCAGATAGCTAATGCAATTCTTAAAAAAAAAAAAAAAAAAAAAAAAAAAAAAAACCAGCTCCATATGCAATATGCAATCCTGGCAATTACAAGCCAGTAATATCAACTTCAGTAACTGGCAAATTGTTTGAAACTATAATAAAGAACAGAATTATCAGACTCACAGATGAACATGATAAGTTAAGGAATAATCAGCACTGTTTTGATAAAGGGAAAAATCATATTTCACCATTATGTTAGAACCCTCTAAACAAACATGGAGAAGGATGACTCTCGGAATATTGTGTACTTGGAATTTCAAAAAGCCTTTGACAAAGTCCCACTCCTTGGGCTCTTAAGCAAAGTAAATAGTCAGAGGATAAGAGGAAAGTTCCTCTCATGGACCAATAACCAATTAAAAAAAAGGGAAAAAATGTCATTTTCACAGTGTACAAAGGTAAAACAGCAGAGAGATTTATCAAGGATCTGTAAAAAGGAATGAACAAGTGAGATGGCAAAGTTTGTAATCTAAAAAAATCATTCAAGATAGTTGAGTCCAAATCTGTACAGGGTCTGACTATTGGTCTTATGTTCTTAAATAAGAGCTAAGCCTTCTTTCCACTGAATACAAACATAAGACAGATTTCTACAGGAGCAGGACATAAATTTGATAAAAAAATTGTAAACTTTTTTTCAGCGTAAGTGATACCAGTAGTAAGCAACACTGACTTTTAAGCACATACCTTTCCTCAGTGCACTCCTGTTTCTCAGTCCCATCAATTTCTATTTCTATCAACTCCTCCGCATCTCTTTTAGTCATGGCTAAAAAGTATCAGAAAAGGCCTGGAAAAGAAAAATTGTTCAAGTAGTTAATTTGAACACCATAGTTTAACATCAAAAATAATTTTCTAATCATACTTTTTATCAAAATATTTTTTCAGCTGTAAAGTCAATTACACTGCTATAAATGGAAATAGTGATGCAGAAACCTTGAAGCAGTTGACAATGCTTGTTCTGGAAAACAGAAGTACAGTAAAACTCCAATTGTCTGGCATCCAGTGGTCTGGCACTCCTAATATTCCAGCACCAACTGGAACCCGGAAGTGCTCCAGCCAGCAGAACAACTGGAGCTCCTGTGAGCCCCACATGCGCTCATTCGCTGGGAAAAGTAAGGGGAGGGGAAGGGAAGGGATTATACCCGTGACAGGTCTGCCGGACTGCACTGCGTCTGGCCGGGTGGCGGGGAATGGCGCAGCAAGGGGCAAACCCTCCGCCGTTTTGCAGGGAGGCGGGGGAAACCCCGCGTAGCCACTGGTGACAGGCTAGCTGGGGCTGCAAGCAGCAACGGCAGACTTGGGGAAGCGGTGGGGCAGAGCAGCTGGTGTGCTGCTGGGTTAGTCCCATAACACCGCCCCTCACCTCTGCTGCTTCCCCAAGTCCGCCGCTGCCGTTTGCAGCCCCAGCTGGCCTGTCACCGGCGGCTGTGCGGGGCTTCCCCCGCCTCCCTGAAAAACAGCAGAGGGTTCACCGCTTGCCATGCTGTTCCCGGCTGACATCTCCCCCCCCCCCACAGTGCGGGTCCAGCAGACCCGTCACAGCCCCCCCCCTGCTGGACTCTCTCCTGAAACTCTGGCATATACGATAATCGGCAACTTTGGGATCCAAGGGGTGCCGGGATTATCGGAAGTCTACTTTAGTAAGTTGGTAGTTTTGTTTTTTCCTGAGAGATGGCAAATTCAGGAAGTTAAAAGATATAGGTGCATAGATTATACATCCTAAGTTAGCTTTTGTTCTCTTCTTTGGATGGCCTGTGCACATATTGGACATTGTATGAATGTCAGGTTAACCTTTCCTTGGATGATAACATTTAGCTTTCAGATTACTTTAAAATACAAGATTTTGCTTTCCCATTTATATTACATACTGTCCTCTGAAGAAATATAAAAGATGTTGACTGCTATAAAATTTTCCTAAAAATACAATGTACTAAATAGGTTATCTATTACTTTTAAATTACATTGCCTCTTATAGGTGAACGTATTCAGCATTACTCTACAAAACACCTACTGAACAGAACATTTTCCATCTAAGGTCTCATTACCTCTCAAACAAGTTAATGATCAGTGCATGTAGATGAAAAGTCATCTAGTATAGTCACTTCCAGTTCTATGAGGTCCCTTCCAGTTCTATGAGATGGTATATCTTCATATATTATGTATTAAGACTTGCTAGCAGGGTGTTCTGTAAATGCTTAGTTAAGGACACATTTCAAGGCCTCTCTTTTTGCCTCTATGGCACATAGAGGCAAAGGTTGCCTAAGGGACAGGATGACCAGCAATTATGGTGGGTGTATTACATTTGTTTTATGCTGCAGCCAGGTTATTGTGATCTGCTCGAGTTTGTCTTAATGAAGTGTACTTTAAGAAACAGTCAAAGTGACCAGAACTTGGCATTAGGCATGCTTCTGTTTATAATAAAAATCAGAACAAATGGTGCTCCAATCATAACTAGAGCTTCTGAGTGGTACTGGAATAATATAAATGCAAACAAGTAACTGTGAAACAGACTTCATGTTGGCATCCTTTTGTCTATGAGATATGGTGGGAACTGCAGCTTGTATGTAGATATTTGCAATGTCTCATGTGACCGAACAGTCTAATCCAGGATTTCCATGATCTTTGGCAGTGAATACAAATGTATGAGCCTTTTCTCCTCAAGCTGTAGGAGCCAGCTTCTGTCATGGACTTTGATACCATGATGGGAGACGATTGCACCACTTGTTACTATCACCTGCCAAGATTAGGGATGTTAAATTTTGATTCGTCGATAAGAGTGCGTCCACCTTTGAATCGTAGCAACAGCCTCATGTCTGCTGCTATACTTCAAGGGCAAAACGCTGCAAGGAGCATGGGGCCAGCGGGGGACTCAAGCAGTTTCAAAGCAGCAAACTACAGAGAGCCAGAGGTCAGTCCCCAGACTCTCAGCTGGCCCTGGCTGCATACAGCATTTGAAAGTGGCAGTGCCATGTGAAGCCTAGGGCCAGACCTTGGACTCCATGTGGCACTGCCACTTTAAAGCACTCCTTCTCCCCCACCCCTCTTGCTGCCTCTGATAAAAGCAGCAGGGGGGTGGAGGGGAGGAGAAGAGTGCAACTAGTAGGGTAGGCTGTCCACTATCTGATAAGCATTTGCTTCTCAGATAGTCAACTAGTTCACATTCCTAGCCATGATTTCCCATTGATTAGGATCAACTGCAAATTCCTTTGTATCTTATTTGCATGTGTCTTTATAGTGAAGTTTGGGGCACCCTGTTATATTTGTTTCCTATGACAACTCTCTGTATAGCATGTTCTTGGATATGCATACATCTTCTAACCTACTTAGTTAGCCCAGCCAGCTCAGTCACCTTTGCTTGAGTAAGGATGTCATGCTTAGTAAGTTTGCCATTTGAAGAATCTGTGTTGGTGACTTTATCTTGCCATTTTGTGCAGCATAATCAACAGTATAGGTGGAAACTATTTTAAGCTTTTTTTCCTGATAAGCAGAAGTTATCCATGTTTCCCCACCCTACACAAAAGCATTTTGATCTTGATGGTAAGCTTTAAATTCTTTTAGCTAGTCTGGAAACGGTACCATGATCTTTTGCAACGTGAAAATTTTGCAATGTGAAAATTTAGCTCTTCATCCACTGAAAGGTTCATGGTCACTGTAGATCCTGAACAGCTGAACTTCTGGAGTACTTCTAGCTGGTTTGCTTGTAAGGTAACTGAAGGATCTTGTAACATAACCCCCCTGTTCTAATACAATTGCTTTATTAATGCTGATAGCGAAAGCAAAAACTTGATGGCACTTGAAAGACAATCCGTAAGTTGTAGTATATCCTCATTGTGGGCAGCAGCATCAGCTAAATGAATAAACAGACTAGTGGTAAAAGTTTGTTTGCCTATTAACTGTGAGCAGAGAACAAAGTAATCAATCAATTCTGAACACTGTATGGACAGTGAACTTCTACCTTAAATATTTATATAGAGTGTAAATACTGGATATGAACGGATAAAAAAAACAGGATTACCCAACCCAACATAAAATATAACTGAAGTTTTAGTGAACTCTGTGCCTTTTATTGCCTGGGCTAATTTTTTGGTTTTGCAGTCATAGTTTATTGTTCTTTATGTTCTCTGCTCCCAGTGGTGTAATGCATAGCACACAAGAACAAGTGTGAATGAGGAAAGGTGACTATGGTGAAATTGATTATGAAACAAAGTTCTGGTTAATGCACACAAGAATCAAGAAACAACACTGTGCATTTGTTCTGTTACCCTAATCTTACGATTAATTTGTAACTCCTGCCAGTACGAAATATATTAAGAGAACGTCCCAGAAAATATGAATTTTACTAAATCAGAACTACGAAATTCACAGCAGCGCCCAGAGTGCATATACTGTGTATTTTGCGCCCTGAACTACAATCTTCCCAGGCAGACCGCGCACATTTCCCTTTATCACTGAACTGACACAGAGCCCGAGGGTTTGGGGTCCGAGCGGGGCGGAGAGACGCGGGACGCCCGAAGCAAGTTCACTGCCCGCCTACGGGCGCCGGCTTTGCCTGCAGTTGGGAACCAGCGAGGGTGGGGGCTTTGACAAGGGTCTCCTTCCCAGGGAGGAGCGGATCCGCCAGCCATGG